CTTGCAACCTGTGTGGGAGCTAGGCTGCTGCTCCAAAGACAGACTTGGTCGTTGAATCCCCATGCTGAGAAAAACGAAGGTGAGCGAGTGCCGTGTTGTGTGTGGTTCCAGTCGGTGTGCTGAGTAGACTTCTTCTTAGCGAATGTTAAGCAACTTGGCTCAAACCATCAGGCTCAAGAATAAAAACAAAAACTTTTCATGAGAGTTGCGCAGGCAACATTTGACAAAAGGGCAAGCATGAACCATGCCTTGACGTTTGCAGTGTGTGCTCTTAGCCAGAAAAATTTTGAGTGTAAAGGCCTCTAGAGTCCGCTGTCTACTCTAAGGGCCCATAGAGGTGCTAAGGGTACCCATTAGGGGTCCGTGCACGCCAGTGCCCCAGCCTCGCCGGGGGCCGGCAGATGGACAGAGACCCGTCCGTGGACTCCGACATAAGTAGCGTCAGTGAAATCAGCCGCCACGTTCTTAATCTCGAACGCCGCCTTGCTCATCTTGAGACAATCATTTCCAACTTGTTTGTCCGTCTGGGGCAGCTAGAGGAGCAGTATCGTGTCGCTGAAAGCCATTATTCCAGCACTGAACGTTTGGCCCAGGAGGCTAGATATCAAGCGGCGCTCGGCCGCCTCGAGGTCGATCAGCTGGCGCGCCGTGTGCAAGCCTGCGAGCAGAGCCTTGATCTTGCAGCCCTAGACTGAACATGGAGGGTAATGGGGGGTTTTCTTCCGGTGCTATTCTAGGGGATGCGCCTTTCTTTCCTTGGGAGCAAGGGATTATGGGCCACATTTTCGGAGATGATCCTTTAGAAACCTTCACCTTGCCCGCGCCCGTGCCAGTAGGTTCTGAATTGCAACCACCTGCTGCAGGACCCAGTGCTGCTACGTGGGCGCATCAAAGAGCCGTGGCCCGTTCCACTAACAGCAGCCGCTGACATATCTGAACTGCCCGCTGACACCCAGCTACTCAAAATCCATGCGCTTCCGGATAAAGGGGGTGTTGCCTTTAATGAAGTAGTTTGGGGTGTGCCCTGGAGCCTGGAGGAATTCCTCAGTAAGGCGCTGGAATCTGGACATCCACGCACGCTAGAGGCGGCCATCCCCCAGGTGCTCAAGGAAGCAATCTTGCAACACAAGTCGTGGACCCAGGAGAAGATTGCAAAGGCCAGAGCTGTGTTCTTCGCCAAATGGCTGAAAGTGGCGCAGGATCTGCAAGCCGAGGAGTTCAAACTCAAGGAAGGAATGTCGAAAGAGAGGCGTAGAATTCTTCAACCCAAACGACTCCTTGTATGGCGGGCCATGCTCAAAGAGGCAAATTACCCTGACATAGATGTGGTAGATGAAACTATAAAAGGAACTGATTTAGTTGGCGAGGCGCCGGCCACGGGCATCTTCAATACCAAATTCCGACCTGCAAAGCGCACGGTGGAGGACTTAGTGTCCTGTGCACCAGCAGTTCGCGAAGCTATCATCCAATCAGGGGCCAGGACGTAGATGCTGAAGTTTTGCGCCAGACGCAGGCTGAGGTAGACAAAGGCTGGGCAACTGGCCCTATCGATGTTAAGCATCTTCCCCCTAACTCCCTAGTCTCTCGTAGGTTCGGTTTAGTCCAACCCAATAAAACCCGGTTGATAAACGACTTATCTGCTTCCGGCACCAATCTGAAGAGACTCCAACGCCACATACCGTAGACGTGGCTGCAGGTATGATCACGTTTGCTGTGAGGCACTTGCCGGGCAAGCAACACAAGGGAAGAGCATACGATTTGGTGTCAGCCTACCGGCAGCTAGCTGTGAGCGATGCCTCCCGATGGGCGGCCTACGTCGCTCTGTGGAAACATCAGACAAGCGATGTGTCCGTGTATGCTTTGCATGCCCTGCCCTTCGGAGCTTCGCGTTCAGTCTTCTCTTTTCTGAGAGTCATCCACTCAGTTTGGCACTTGGGGGCTTTCTTCCTCTGGCTAATTTGGTCATGCTATTACGATGACCTGATTTCAATATCAGATGCAGACCACACGGATTTCACTCACCGAACCCGACGCTTTCTTCACCTTGTTGGGGTGGGCTTATGCGAAGGATGGTGCTAAGAGCCAGGCCTACTCTGCAGCCTTCAGTGCGTTGGGCGTATGCTTTGTTCTGTCTGACATGCACCTAGGCAGGGTGACGATCTGTAACACAGAAAGACGGATCCGGCAACTCCTTGAGTCCATACGGGGCTTCTTAGCCAGTGGCACCATGACCGTGCCGGAGGCTCTCAAACTCAGAGGGCAATTGCAGTTCGCTTGCGGACAAGTGCTGGGCCGCCAATTCCGAATCTTCCTTAACACTTTGACGGATTATGCTTATGGCGATCATCCCCCCGTGCTACCCCCCATGTGCATTACAGCCTTGGAAAATTTTACTTGGATGCTGGAGAATGCCGGCCCACGCGCTGTCAGTGTTGACGGCCAAAAGCCAATGTACATCTTCACCGATGCTTGCTACAACCCACATGACGACTGGGTATGTGGCATAGGGGGTATGCTGTTAAATCATAAGGGTCAACTTTTGGCCGGTTTCTCTCATAGGCTAGAGGCATGCGAGCGTGCTCAGCTGGGTGAAGGCTCCAGTGACACAATCATAATGGCGGCGGAATTTGTGGCCGTTTCATGCGCTATTCTTGCTTGGCAGGGCCGACTTAGGAATGTACCCCTGATACTATTCATTGACAACAATGCTTGTCGTGATGTACTAATTTTGGCAAAAGGTAGATCCCCACTCATGCGAAAACTACTTGCCCATTATTTGAAAAATGAACACAAAGTGGGATACACACCCTGGGTGGCTCGGGTGCCTTCGCCCAGTAATTGTTCGGACGCCCCGTCTAAGCCCCTTTCGGCTCAATTCTTGTTTTGTTCTGGGGGAGGGGTAGGTAGCGTGCTAGTTCCTAGGGTGTACGTCGGGGCGCCCCCGGCTCGCTCTAGACGCCGCAGCTGTTTCGTAGGAGGCGCGCCATAGGGGGGCCTCCTTGACCCTTGCCTGAGGCTACCTCTTTTTCACTGCTCATCAACCAAGTGGTGGATTGATAAGGGAGCTCCTGGCTTTCCTTGTATGATTTTCCAGGGGCGCAGCAGCTACCTATTTCCCGCAATACTCCTGTTTCTCTATCTACAGGTGCTGCTGCAGCCACCGTTGGAGACGACGAGACGACAGGATTACTGCACGCAGCAGAGGCAGCCGGCATCGGCTCGGACACCAGCTCCGACGAAGAAGCAGCCACCAGAAGATGGTACAGATCGGTGGAACAATCAAGTAGTGACTGCGAGCGCTCATGCGCGGAAGCCAACTGGGATCCATACTTGGAATCCTGCGAGGAGACAGCCAATCCTACAGGTGTGCCTTCTGGGGGGGCAAAGCAGTCAGCTGGATCAGATGGCTCCTCCCAGAAGCGGAGGAAACAGGGGAACACGGAACTCAGCGACTTGGATTTATTGGACATCACCTTCATGCAGCCGGATCAGCTGGCAGGGGCTCTGGCCAATCAAGGTGACCATGTTATGGCGATCAAGGTCCAAGGACTGTGGCTCTGGAAGATACAATTTGCAACAATGCCTACAGAGGAGAGGCCAAAACTGGAGGCGGATCTCTACGAAGAGCTGCAGGGACGCAGCATGGCTGAATGCGTCAAATTTTTTAGGCGCGTTTTGCAGGAGTTTGAGAAGGAGCTCTTCCATGCATTTATTCTGGAAATTTTACAGAAGCGGCTCCCTGTCAGCTCAAGCAGGGTATGATCTTGACAGTTTTGTGAGGCCCAGCCACAGTTTTGACAGCGCAGCTCAGGAGGTCTGCGGATTCCGCACCTCCACCACCACAGGGCACCGCAAGGGACAGCACGTTGTTTTACATGGAGCGCATGAAATTCTGTTGCACTTCGTTCTGGTGGTTTGCGGGCTCCGCCCCACTGATCTCATCGACTGCCGCAGGCTATGTGACAACCTCAACCACGTTCCCAACAGCGGTCAGATATGCCAGGTGCCCACTCCTCAAACGGTTTGCGGCGCTGTCCTTAGAGAGCCCAAGCAGGCAGGGAACATGCTGATACTGGTTTGCTGGGCTTCGATAAGGGTTCCTGTCAGGGAAGCGGTTAGTCACATGGGTATCAACGTTACGCACGCTCATGTCTTGAATCACAGTGGACGAGTTAGAGGTAAGCAGCATCTCTGCGACAGTCGCCTTACTGCTCTTTCAGGTCTGGTCGAAAGAAGGCTGAACGAGGCGCCTGCATGCGTGTCTCTTGTGCATCACCTGGTGAACAGTGGGTTCCAAAGAGTGAGGACGGAGCCTTACCGTGGCGTGAACCAAAAGGCCGATCAGGGGTCAGTGGTAGCCACACCCTCCCAACTGCATCTCTGGGTACTGAGCTCTACCAGGTCCGGCACTCAGGCTCACGTGGCAGATACGCCAAAGCATGGCTGGCAACGCCTGGCCGGGAAGGCGAAGACAGCAGTGCACTTGGAGAAGATCTGGCAGGGCGGGGGCGCAAGAGGGTCTGTGGTTGCCACACCCAGGTTGGTTACCCACTTCCATGCCTCTTGTGCACAAAATCGGAATCTTCAGGTGGACTGGTCTGTGGATGCCACACCTCCAGCCTGTGCTCCAGCCTCAGCCTACTGCAGTAAGGTAGGTAGACTCCTAAGGGCAATGATTCTGCGCGAAAAAGGCATAGAAGGGTTAGTGGACGCCACGCCCGGACTGATAGCCCACACCCAGGCCTCTCATGCACAACTGATGCATCTGCAGGCCGACAGGTTTGTGGTCACCACACCCTCTGCTGCAGCCTCAGCCTCAACTCAATGCAAAAAAGCAGCTCGGCCGGTAGCCAGGGCACGACATGGGTCCAACCAGTTGACACTGCTTCCAGGGCCACTTTCTCAGTGTAACCACCGCGAGACAGCCGGACTCTCAGGGGATGTGACCGCGGCCAGGATGCAGA